TAAAGTGCCTTGGGGGGTTCCAGGACTCTAGAAGGCGCTATATCAAATACAGGCCATTTACCATTTACGTCGTCAAAACCTTTTTGCACCTGCGAAGCTGATACAGCAACAGTTCCTGCAGAACAAGCTGATATTGTTTAGACTCTTTGAGAGTCCCAGACGCGTGGTTCCATCCGTCTGTTGCAACCCAGAGACAACTCTAAAACCAGTCTAGTAGTGCCGCAGTTTCTTCTACTGACCTCGGTGCCTGGAAGTCCGAGGACTTCGACATTCCGGATCTATCACGAGGGACTTCGAGTGGGTATATAGACATGACAGATTGCGTCTGATGTGTTCTTGATAACAACCACCATAGCTTAGAACAAACCAAATTCTTTTACAACCAGAACTCAGCTCTCCTAGACACGGAGGTTCTGATAACATCGCATTCACACATAGGTTTCATACATCACATCTAGTTCCATCCATCACAGTAAATGCTTAGTTAACCTGTCATGTTTTAATTGTTTGTAAAATAAATTCTTACTTTTATGAACCTGACTCTTTCCTGAATCAAAACAAAGTGTTTACAATCCCTTAATAAATAAAGAATCCTAGAGTCTTCTGATAAGCACAGTAAAGACCAAGCAGAGTTGATATTCTATGTTTAGATAGAGTACCACAGCTTATTGGTCATAAGTAGAGGTCATATATATTGAGCTCTTAAAGCACTCAAATTCTCAAACCCTACAGTTGCGCTCTATGGTGATGTCATCGCCAAAACAACCAAAACAAAGCGGAAACTCGCCTCTTACATCAGGAAGAATTCGCACGTTTCGAGCGTAATCCGTTCTTTCATAATCCGTTGTCGAATTGTGATCGGCAGAAGCTTTTGCACTTAGCGCCTCACTTCTTTTACAGCAGCGGCTCAAAACGATCTCCTAACACATGGATGTTCTGCTTCCTGATCACATGACGTGTGACGTACGCGGATAAAGATTGGCTTTAGAGCTGGGATGTTTGTTCACATGGTGCGGGGACTTGTTCTGACGCCCACATGTTAAAAAATGCAAATGATGACTTAATATCTCATAGGGGAAATTTTACGGGTAAAAAATCTTTACATAAATCAGAATTTCTTCAATTTTTTTTCTGTTTCTGCCGACTAATGATAAACTCCAATTAGGGCTGCACATTTAATCAAATTTTAATCTCAATTACGATCTGTGTTTTGAATGATTGTAAAAGCAATACGAGCCAATTATTTGCTCCGCTCTCTTGCGCTGCTCTGCCCCTCCCGCACAGCATTGCCAACTTAGCGACTTTGTCGCTGATTCTAACAACTTTTTAGACTCCCTTCTTGACTTTTTATCAACTTTGCAACATTTCCAATAACCCTTAGCTACTTACTGTATAACTTTGTCGTAGATATTTCCTGCAGGTTAGCAAAACCTTAGGAAAGGATAGAAGGGCACATTTATGAAACATCGACTGACAAATCATGAACCTTTCTCTGTGGATCTCAGTCGCTGAAATATCGTTTTACAAGTAAATAAATTCCTGTGGATTTGTTTTATCAGAGCTGCAATTTTTCATGCGATGAGCGTCAGACACACATGTGACGGTCTTCATGCCACACCTCAAGTTTCTCTGCTAAATAATAATAGTTCATCTGTGAGCAACATATCAGACCAACAAAAAAGGCAAATGATAATTAAACTGCTTTATACAGGAAATCTGTAATGGGGGCAATAATACACAATTATATCAATGACACAGACTGAACTTTATTCTGTTTCAGAACTAAAAATATTCATTAATTTTACCTTTTTAACCAAAAGTAGGACAAGATCAGTATATCCTGTGCTTTCTGCTCTGCTTTGCATGGTGGAGGTGAGGGGGCTGCATGAACATGCAGCTAGGACCCTAGAAGCAAAATGGCTGGCACTGTCGCAAAACTCAACTCTAATATTCAAATGCAGGGCAGAGAATCGTAAACTAAGGTACAGATATTCTTCATCAGTATTTTAAATCGTCAGTCAAATGAATTTCAGTGTTGTTGTTTATATTGCTGCATTTTAACCTCAAAACGAGGGTTTAGAAAAAACAAATAAGCCCATCTTAAAATGTGTTAACTTAAAGAGCAAGTCACCCCCTACCAGAGTATTACTCCACTCCCACTTCCTGTTTGAAAAATGCAACAAATGCTGTTGCCTAGCAGGCCGAGAGGGCGGAGCCGCTAACAAATACACACACACACACACACAGGCTCACAACGACATTGTGACATCATATGGTACCAGCTAACGTTCTAGGGTACCTCTTAGCCAGTAGCGATGGCAGATTTAAATTCAAATGCAGTGCAGAGTTTTTACATGACAACGGCACGACACTGACAGTTTTAGGCAGAAAATTAAAATTCTAACTAAAATGCACTAAAGTGCAAAACTATTGACTACACGTGTCTGCAGCACGATTAGACACGCAGTTATATAGTTTATCAGAAAAAATGTTGATTTGGGGGTGACCTGCTCTTTAAAGAACATTCTGGAATCATCTTTTAGCTGCAGAGACAAACTAACAACCTGGAAGCCAAATTAAACGAGACCCTTCTTTTGTATCTCTGTTTGTGAGCTCATCTCCTTTTTCCTCTAGCAGCATTGATGAGACTGAGTTTAGTGGTCTCAACCACTTTAATCACAAACTGAGATTCAAATCCAAAGTTTTGGGCTAAAACGTTTGGAAGCCGACCTGCTATTGATACCAAGTAATGCTGGAGAAGATTTAAAGGTTTAAATAAATTGGCCATTAAATCTGTCTAGGAGAAAATGTTGACCAGTACTCTTTTGTAAAATAAAAAAATCCAACAACATTTCTTCAGTAATAATCTTATGAATCCATGAAATATTAGATTAGGAGGCTAAGATCTGGTTCATCCCACGTTCAACGGCTCAGCTTTAAAAGGAGGTAAAGCATGTAGGAGGTGTTAATGGCTACAAATACATAAAAACTAAAGGTGTGCACTGCTCATATAAATATCAGAGTGTAAAGGAAACAAAAACTGTTTGTGAATAATGACACAATAATTTAAAATGTGTGGGTTTTGGTGCAGATGTGTCTTTCATTTTCATGGTTGAAATAATGATGTCTTATTTTAATCAAACCACTAAATGACAAACAATCAGCAGTTCAGAGAAATGTTTACATTTACCGTCAGTTTGACTTTTACTTGGTAAATAGAAAAGTGGTGTGCTTCAATAAAAACAGCTTAACAACTCGAGACTAAAGAAACGGATCAAACAAAGTCATGGAAATAATTGGAGAAGCTGTTCAGACTCAACAAATGTTTTCATCGTTAGGAAAACTACGAAGACAATGTTTTATTAACCAGCTAACCTCAGAGTGAAATGGTAAATGGCCTATATTTGATATAGCGCCTTGTAGAATCCTGGAACCCCCCAAGGCACTTTACAACACAGTCATTCACCCATTCACACGCTGGTGGGGATGAGTTACGATGTAGCTACAGCTGCCCTGGGGAGCGCCGAAGGCTGAGTCATGCTTCTGCGTCAGCTCAAAAAAGGAAGAGACACGCACGGACGGAGACTGCTAAACCAGAAAGGTTCAATGGTGAAGAGTGGACTCAAACTAATTAAATCATTTTGGCTCAGTTTAAACAAAATTAATCTAAAATAATTGTTTTATTTATCTATTTAATTATGGTTTTAGATTTTACAGTAATTTAACTTACATTATTTTTCTTGAAAAAGTTGTCAGTCCTCTCCTGCCTTTTCCTTTTCTGCGTCTTTGTAATACTGGTGAGAAATAGGTAAATAAAAGCTTGATTTTGACATGGATCTTCCTAATATGACTGAGAAAATGTTTTTTTGGCTAATATCTGCTAAAATATTAAGATAAAATATGTGTAAGCCTTTTCTGTGTAGGTGCATACCCGGTGTATTTTCACCACAACAAGCCGAATGTTGGACAATGACCAAACAGGTGGGATTTATGGTGGGAAGCAAATCGATTGGTTGAAAGCCGGTTGTGTCAGAGCAACAGGAGAGGGAGGGAGGGAAGAGCCCCTGGAAGCCCTTGGGCTCTTCCCTCCCTCCCTCTCCTGCTGCTGATTGAAACCAAAACCCGAGGCAAACAGAGTGAGTGTGACGTAGAGACCAGACTGGTGTGGAGGTGAGCAAAACGGCCGGAAAAGTGAGGGTGTTGAACGATCTCAATAAGAAAAGTGTGAGTGTTGAATCCCCCACATCCCCCACGGGTGCGACGCCCATGATGCACTTTGTCACTTTAAACCTAATTGTTTTGACTTCCTAAACTTGACCAAGTAATTTTCCCAAATTCAACTAAGGTTGATTGTATTTTTATAAGACTATACAACTGATTGTGTTGTAAAGAGCTTTGGGAGGATGTCGAACCCTAGAAGACGCTACACAAGTACTGGTCATTTACCATATTGTTCTGTTGTTTAAACAGCTGCTCTGTTAAATTTTTGTGATGCAAGATTCTAGTTCTAGAGACAAATGTATCCCATCTGAATACAGAATAACATTAATGAAAAAAGACTCAGTAATCTAGATTAAATGTCATTCCTAAATTAAATATCACAGTTCGAAACAATACGACTTGCCAAAAACTTTGATTCAATGTAGTTGGATTCATTGTCTTTCCCTCTTGTGGCTGTTCCTTTGTAAAACTGCCTGAAGCACAGTTTCTTTAACAGTAATTTTTCATCACATTTCAGTATTTTAAATAATATTTCTACTGGTATTATACACAGTTACTATTGAACTGTTACATTTTTATATTTAATTGTAAGTTTGGAATTATTAGGGTGATAAAATCTTTGGTCTGCTTGTCTTTTATTGGAACAACTACTTGCACAGAATTTCCCCCTGGACCATTAACCTTTTTTCTGATTCTCAGAGACCACGTTTGTGTGCCAGCAAACTTTTTAATGTTCCTTCAAAACTAATTTTCTTTCCTCTCTTTGTTTTTTCCTGCAGCGACACTGGGAACCTTGGAGTTCAGTTTGCAGTATGACCAAGAGAACAATGCACTCCACTGCACAATTAACAGAGCCAAGGTAAGCCATGGTCACTTTCATTTATTACTCTGCAACATGTTTTTGGTTTTGATGAACCGTGAATGTGTTCACTGGAGTTCTTACGAAACAGATCCCATTTTTATTTACCGTTTACTACAAAAACATCCTGCTACTGTAACAAGCCACCAAAGGACAGATCAGTTTAAACAGATAGTTTTAAATATTTTCTCAGGTTAAAGGACCATTTAGGCAAATGCTCAATAAATGATAAATGACCCGCACTTGTATAGCGCCTCTCAGAGTATAAGCACTCCAAAGCATCTGCCACTACAGTGTGTTGTTCATCCACTCACACACGTTCACACACTGATGGTGATGAGCTTCGATGTAGCCTGGGGCGCACTGACGGAGGCGAGCACGGGCGCCACCAGTCCCTCCGACTACCACCAGCAGGCAAGGTGGATTAAGCGTCTTGCCCAAGAACACAACAGCAGAATTCTCTGTCCGTAGCCGGGAGCGAACCTGCAACCTTCCGATTACTGGACAACCCGCTCAACCTGTTGAGCTACAGCTGCAATGCTGTCAGTGACATTACTCATTCCACTGGGACCAGTGAGATATTTACCAACTCCACCAGTTTTACTTGCATATTCTTTTTCTATCTTTTGAGATGGTGTGTGTGTGTGTGTGTGTGTGTGTGTGTGTGTGTGTGTGTGTGTGTGTGTGTGTGTGCCATGTAATGTGGTGGTGGAGACACCTCCTCTTCCAGCAGCTACTCTGGAGTAGGGCTGCAACGATTCGTCGATGTTGTCGCCAAATATCGACAATAGAAAGAATCGACAATGAATTTCATTGTCAACGTTGTTGCTAGACGTGTTTTTTCCGACCGATTGAGGCATCTCACTTCATTACAATCTCTGCCGAGAGTCGCACGTGCGCAATAGCTTCTCTGCTGAGCGCCAACTAACAGAAATTGCGGCGTCCAACACAGCAGCTACACGTACCAAAACATCGAAAGTTTGGGAGCATTCTAGCCGGGATTCGGCGAATGAAAAGATGACCTGCATCATTTGTAAAGTAGTCCTCGCGTATCACGGCAGCACGTCGGTGGTGCATGAACACTTGAAGAGAAAGCACGTTGGACAGTTGAATGAAACAGTCTGACTCACCTCGGTAAGATATAAATAACATGAAAGCTATCCGTTTAGTTTTGGATGTACATTTTTTAAACGTATTTTCGCTTTTAAATAAGTTGATTTAATGTTATGCCCGACTGTGCCTGACAAAAATATTTTAATTTTATTTATGCATTTATGTCTGTACTGACTGGGCACTGAGCCTAATTGGTGTTAGACAGGGCATTTTTATTTACTGTTAGTAAGAATCGGCCTATCAGCAGCAAAGTTCAATAAAATATGCATTTTCCATTGAAGTACCCATCTTTCTTGTGTTTATGATCATTTTTCACATAATTAAAGCAATCTCGCACTAAATTTAAGAAAAATTTAATAATTATCCGATTAGTCGACTAATCGTCAATAGTTGGTGACTAGTCGACGATTAAAATAGCCGTTAGTTGCAGCCCTACTCTGGAAATTTGTAAAACAATAACAAAATGATGAAAGATACGAGTTTGACTTTAAGCTGCTTTTTCATTTATTTCTGTCCAGGTGTTCTATCTTGTAAAAAAGTGCATGCATGCTTCAGGATAAAAGCACATTAATCTCTTCCTCAAAGTATAAACTTATAAACAACTTTGAAAGACTTCACACAAGTAATCAGTTTGAAACAAACCCAACAACATCTACCAAACTGAAAGAGGGCAGCTTGGAATGAAGTCATTATTTAAACAAATGTGTGTTTCATAGGAAGGAAGATCTACTTCCACTTTTCCTCTCCTCTTTTCGCTGTGATGAAGTGATGTCTCCAACCACCACGGCTGCCGTCAGCATAACTCTTTTGTCTGCATGAATGGCTGATTTGGAGGAAAAGTGGAGCCGTTCTTGGCAGGAATGTTGGACAGCAGAATGGGCATGAGGCCATAGTGATTTATGGTTGTTATTTTCTATACTTCTCTGCTCCTGGATTTCAGCTGCTGCCTAGCCAAGCAGGGAAAATCATTTTTCTCATATATTCTATTATGTAGCTATTTCTTCAACTTAATTGGTTTGTTAGACCCATTAGTGATGTTTCTACCTGCTGGCTTGTTTCAACCTGCTGCTGCTCTAAAAAACATGTAGCTAACTAAATATCAGTTCATTCTTTTCTCTGGTGAGATGCTATGAATCTTTCTAGTGGATAATCAGGCGTTTATACCATAAACATGAACATAAAACGTTTAGTTAAAGTCACAAAACTGTGGAGAGGAGACAGGGTGACATGGTTTGGGGAATGCATTTAACCCAAGACATGCAGAATCACACACTCACAGATCTTACGGTAAAAAAAAAAAAGAATCTTTATTTTAAAATGGGAACTGAAGGTGCACTGGAAAAGCCCAGTGGAGATGGAGAAAGGGAGCGCAGCTTCTGAGGAGGCGAGAGCAGATACAGGTGAGTCCAGGAAGGTAAGTCTAAACTTGGTGGGTGCAGAGAAAAGACTTACTGGGAGTAGGGGAGCGTAGGAATGAGGGAGGGTAGGTTGGGTGCCGGGGTGAATCCAAGTGGGGTGTCCAGGAGAGGGAGCGAGGGGAGAGCGGGCCGGCCAGGAGGAATGGAGAATGGTGAGAGCTGCATCCGGAAATCCTATAGGGTACAGGTGAGTAATCCAGAGAAGTCACAGAAGTCCAAAAACGTTCCAAAACCTGGTAACGGGTAAGCAAGGGAAAAGACCCAAAAGTTCACAAAAAAATCCTAGAAACACTAGAGCACAAAATCCAAGAGTCGCAAGAGGGCAGGAAACTACCAAGCTGTAGTATTCATCCGCCGTCGAGGAGTGTTCTCCATCCTCCTTTTGTAGCCAGACCCGCTGATTGCAAATCAGCTGCAGCTGGAGCCTCCCTCTCCTGAAACACACAACTCAAAGATGGGAAAATGAGAGGAGTACTTACCCCGGCACATGACACGGGTTGAATGGCTGCCATGCATACGTTTAGCAGGAATAGCTTGATCTGTGCATGTATTGAACACTGTGCAATGCATATTATTTGTTTACATTTGGAAAGATCAAAGATATGTTGCATTGCAAAAATGGGCAAATAGTTGCTCTTGACCAAATTTGTAACATCACCCACTTCCTATCATTCCAGAATTTCAAAGTAAGATTTTTGTCTTTTTAGAAAAAGTAGTTATCGTCATTATGGCCAAATCTTGAAAATGGCTTTGAGTGCACTCTCACACAATTTTACAAGATCTTCCCCAATCAGTACATGTCTGAGGATGAAATAGGAATGGCTTTCATATTGGGGAGTTCAAGATGGCGCTTGCGCGGGTGTACGCAGCGAGCTGCTCGTCCTTTTCACGCAATGGAACCTTGCGTTTTATTGGCTTTTATGTGGGCTTTTGTGCACTTTTGCTGTTTCTGATGCTTTTTCTGAATGGTGTGGCTTATCTGGTGGCTTATGATCAAGCTACGTTGCTGAGGCTTTGTCCTCCTGTTGATGTAGCGGGCCCTGGGAACCTCATGGATGGCGTTGTTGCTTGGACTGCCCGTGTGCTCTCTCCCCCCAGGACATGATGTGTCGGCCTTCTGTCCACCCCAGCTCAAAAAGGAAGCATCGCAGAAGACTGGGAAAGCGAGGTAGCAGGCGCGTGAGACGTCGGCTGGACTTCCTGGATCCCTGAAGAAGCGGCTGGTCCGATTCGGCCAAGGTTGTGACTCGGTGAATCCGAGACGTCAGATGGATTACTCTGCGCTCTGCCTTGTGAACTTGTCCGGCTCTGAATGTGAGCTGGCACCGCACCACGGCCATTCGGCTCGAGAACCTCGCCAGAGTGGGGTTTGCTGGGAGAATTTGCACTTGCTTACGGGCTCTGAGCTGGAGGAGATGGTGCCCATGCGCGATCCCGGTGCGGCGGCCCCGCCGCAGACCCGGTTTGGTCTGGTCAATGCCAGGTCTCAGCAGAACAAAACTTTTATTCTTCAGGATTTTTTTATTCAACATGGCTTGAGTTTTCTGTGCATTTGTGAGTCCTGAATCCAGTTTGGTGACTCAAGCGCCCTGCTGGAGCTGGTACCACCTGGCTGCCCCTGTTTTAATATCCCTAGATTGCGGGGCAGAGGTGGTGGGCTGGTTGTTGTTTTTAAATCCAGCTTTCCTTGTAAACAGCTTACACCCATTATGTCATTTTCCACCTTTGAACTGTGCATATTTGAACTGTGCATCTCCCCTCGCCTGCTCGTCGTGCTAATTTATCACCCTCCATATACTGACTCTAACTTCCTAAATGATTTCTATGATCTTGTGGCAGACTGCATCCTAAAATATGACTATGTCCTACTTTTTGTTGATTGTAACATCCATATCTGCTGTCCCGACAACGTGCTTGCTAAAGGCTTTTTGAATTTGCTAGATTCATTTAATTTAACTCAATGGGTATCGTCCCCAACTCATGCCAGGGGTCACACCGTGGACCTGGTTCTCTCTTTGGTCTCCCTGTCATGAACCTCAATACTTTGCCTCCTGTGTTCTCTGACCACTCTCCAATACTCTGTGATGTTACGTTGCCATGTCCTGTCCCTGTGTGTGAAGCACCAGCTACTAGGTTCAGAGCCCTGGATGCAGAAACTGTTGCAAAGTTCGTGGACTGTATGCCTGTAAGGTTAGAGACCTTTAACCCAGATCCATCTAACATTGATCACTATTCACAACACTTTGATTTACTTTGTAATCAGGTCCTGGATGTGGTTGCCCCTCTCAAGCTTTGCAAGTCTAGGCCTAGGAGGGAGCCTTGGCTCTCTGATGTCACACGGACTTGTAGGCGGATGTGTAGATCCTCTGAGAGAAAGTGGAAAAAGGATGGCCTACAGGTCTTGCGTGAGTTGTTCAGAGCATCTCTGGTTGCTTATCAGGATGCTGTGAGGGCTGCTAGAATGGCCTA